CAACAAATATCTGAAAATTTCTGATAATCGCATTTCGTTTTATCTGAAAATTCCTGATAATAGCATTTCGTTCTACCTGAAAATTTCCGATATTAGCATTTCGTTTTCATACAACAAGTATCCGAAATTTTCTGAAAGTAGCATTTCGTTTCTCTGATATTCGCATACATAGCCGAAAATTTCTGATGTTAGCATTTCGTTTTCTAGGCATACTAGGATAACGATAGAGGTGGTCATATTCTCGGAAAACGGATTTAGTTCTTTTCTGAAAATCGCATCCCTACTCTATTTCACAGTTTTTTTTTTTTTTCAAGATCACATTTTTGTGAAAGCCGAAACTTTGCGGAACCTGGCCTTGATCTCGCTCATAGTACTCTTCTGTGGCATTCTGAGCCACACGGGCCCCCGTTAGGGCCCGGTTCCAAACAGGCAGGGTTAGCCCAAGGGACAACGGTTCAGATGAGGCTCAGAGGGGCCTGGACCTTGACGATTCAGGCAGGCCCAGGCCAAACGGCCACACGGCCGGTACCGGTCCAGCCTAGGACCTACCGGCGGCAGTACAGAGGCTGCCACCGTTTTGGGCGCCAACCAGTTTTGAAACTGGACCGTTGATCTTGATCAACGGTCCAGGCCGGTAGGTACCAGCAGGTAGGAGGCCGGCCCAGCACTACAAATGCTGGGTACCAGCCTCAGTAGTTTAGGTTAGTACGAGGTTAGTCTGTACGAAGTTAGTCCTCAGGGATTAGCGCAGCTTGGCAGCGTTAAGCGGATTAGCGCAGCTTGGCAGCGTTAAGCAGATTAGCGCAGCACAGCAGCGAGAGCCAGAGCCGCGAGGAGACAGCGAGCGCAGCAGCGAGAGGAACAGCTCCGCGGCCCTGCCGCGCCATAGCCAGGTACCGGGAGGAATGCTCTGCCTTCTCTCCCTCTGTTCCTCCGCCCTCCAGCTCTCTCTCTCTCTTCTCTCTCTCTCTCTTTCTCTCTCCTCCTACCTTCTCAGTCTATTCTGGGTTCTCCTACGGGACTACTGCAGATGAGAGATGGTTACGAGTTTTGGTGACATCTGAGACAGCGACATGGGGACTACGAGTTGAGGGCTATTTTGGGGATCTGATTTCATCTTCCTTCTGAAGGTGTACTTGACATTGTGAGATCGATAGCCGGGATATTGTGAGACTTGGCATTCGCGACATTTCGGATTTCCGTCACTTCTGACAGTTCAAGATACCATCTTTGGAAACATTTAGTTGACGTCATCTTCCCTCTCCTCCTCCTTCGTCTCTCTCCTCTCTCCTTTCGTCTGTGTATGATCTTGGTCCCTGGCCCTTCGTCTACACTCGAGGCCAGGGCATTCACACCCTGATGAATGTTTGAGAGTGTTCGATTGCAGTCCGAGTCAGGTCTGAGTCAGTCCAAAGGTATCTCACTCTTCCGTTGTATTTGTATCAACTCTGTATTATCTGGTCGGTTCTGGGAATCTGCGCCATACTTATGACTGTGTTTCACGAGTATGCAACAGTTTGGTATCGGAGCAGACCAGCATTGGATGACTCACCGTTAATTGATTGATTGATTGATTGATTGATTGATTGATTGATTATCTATACCTGCACTCTGTTATCATTAAAACGCAAGTTGCAATTTTTCTTTTCTTTTCTTTTTCTTGTCCTTTCATAGGATTAGGTTGTTAAATTTTAGGTTTTGCGACTTTTCTCAATATTACGCAATTAGGGAATCGCTAATTACGAGTGACCTAATTAGCGCTAGTTAGGGTTAGTCCTAACCTAATCAAAACGACCTACCTAACCTATTGGAAGTAAGTGCCAGCCAGGCACCGCGCCAATCAAGGCTGAGCGGGCCTGAGCAAGGCCATATTCGAACTGCAGCTTAACGGAACTTTCACTTTTTGCAAACTGCATCTCTTTTGCGTTTGAAAGGTTGAATCTTTCCAAGCAAATTGTGTATCGTCCTGCTATCATTCATCTCTACTATATGAGTGACCTCCGGATGATGCTAAAATCTTCCGACGAAATTTCGTGAAATTTTCAAAAAACTTGGAAAAAGTTATGTCTAAATGTTTAAACTTGCTTAAACTTATTCATTTCCTTAATTGATGCAAATTTAAAATATTTCGATTAAATATTTAACCCTTGTGAAATTAATAATTGCAAAGTTAAATATTTCGTTAATCAGGTATTTAATCTTTTTTCCGAAATTAAAATTTTATTAATTCCTATTTTTCGATTAAAATTTTATTTAATTTCCCAAAAAATTTGAAAATTCGTCCAGGGGGGATTTTTTTTCTTTTTCTTTGATTAGTATCAGACTTCGAGGTCAGGGGACACAGGGACTGTCTGTGCATGGTGTGCCTCTCTGCCCCTCCTCCCCACCCAACCTTCTCTTCTCCTCTCGGTATACGGTTGCCAGCATTCCGGACACGTCCGCAGAGTGCCACCTCAGCAGTGACACGTCAGCAGAGTGCCACCTCAGCAGTGACACGTCGGCAGAGTGCCACCTCAGCAGTGACACATCAGCAGAGTGCCACCTCAGCAGTGACACGTCAGCAGAGTGCCACGTCAGCAGGCGCCACCTCAGCAGTCACATATCTTGATGCGCCGCAGCCAACGACTGGCCGAACGCTGATCCGCAGGAGCCCAGTCTCATCAAGGATCTAGGACACCTCGGATTCCGCGCAGGCCACGCTCGACCATGGCCGCTACCTCGGACACCAATGCACCAGCTAGCCCCAAGAGGCCGGTTACCCCTCCGCTCCCAGTTCAACAGGCCGATGAAACGCTCCTAGCGTTCCTCGACCGTCTCCATCAGTATTCGGAGACGACGGCAGCTGACCTACGCAAGTGGGAAGAAGAGGAAGCCGCCCACCAGCAGGAAATAAAACGCCAGCAGGCAGAGGCAGCAGCAGCACGTCAGCAGGCCGCAGCAGAAGCTGCAGCAGCCGCACGGTTGCAACAGCAGCAGCTCGAGGCAGATCAGAACCAGGCTCGTTACCAGGCCACGATGGATCTTGCTCGCGACGAAGCCACATACGTCAGGCTACTTCGACAACAGCATTTCCAGGAGACCGAAGAACAAGACCGGCCAACCGAGGAAGAAAAAGATAAGGAAGGGACAGCAGTACTAATGGAGACTCTGCTGTACACATGCAATTGGCAGCAACGTGAACTGCTCGCCACGCGGCAGGTCCTCATCCGCCATGAAACAACACTCAAGGCAATGGACAAGAGGATCGCGACCCTGCAGGCCGAGAACAGCTCACTACATGCCGCCAACAGCCAGCAGCAGACACTCAACCACCAGTTGCAGGCAGATGTCAGCAACGGGGTGGCACAGCTGTCAGCAGCTGCGTTAACGGGCAGTGCAGCGGTAGACTGCAGCCCAGCTTTGGCCGCACAGGCAAAGCAATTGGAGGAGCGGGTCAATTATTTAGTCGCATCCCTCGGCGACATCAGCAAGTTTGCTGGAGCGTCAACAGTCAGCAATCAGCTGCAGACGCTCAGCGACCGCGTTGACCAACGACCGGCCGCCGCCGCCAAGGAATGGAAGATGCCGAACTTCAAGATCGAGAAGTTCAACGAGTATCACAAGACTGATCCGCTGCAATGGTGGATAGCCTTCAACGCAGAGGCGGATGTACATCATACACCCGCCCATCGGCGGCTTGATGCACTTTACCTCCAACTCATCGGAGGCGCGCAGGTCTTCATGACGCATATGGCGGTCACATTGGAATGTACCATCGCCACCCTCCACACCAAGATCACGTGGGAGGAATTCGAGAAGAAGTGGAAGACCCGGTTCATGGTCAACAACGACAAGCGTCACACCATGAACAAGATCTTCCGCATCTACCAAGGCCAGCAAACATCACGGGAATGGCTAACGGAGTGGCAAAGACTCGTGGCCACCCCGGAGTTGGGTTTACCATTCGACGCAATCCGGGCCGAATTTTTCGCTCGGTCATGCGACGCATTGACAGCCGCTCTTGGTGCCGAATTCCAATACGAAACCTTTGATGATCTGATCTCAAAGGCAAGAGACCTAATTCAAGGTAACCGGCGTGTGGCTAACGAGACTCGCCAACAGCCCGGTTACGTGGAGAAAGGAAAAGGCAACGGACGCCGCATGTTGCCGCCGTCCAACAAGGACCAAGTGAGGACCACGCAGCCGCTTCAACATCAAGTAATGGAGATGTGGCGGCAACGATACCACCGCGACGCACGAAACCCCGAGGGGGCAAGAAGGCGAAAGAAGCGTCGGCGGATGGAGCACGACAAGCACCATGGACGAAATTCGGCATTACTAAAGAAATGTTCAAGTTGCGATAGAAATGGTCGTGTTGTTTATTGTGCAACAGCACCAAACACATCACCAGTGCCTTCCTCAACAAGGACAAGGAAAATGTCAAGCATTCGGGCTCGGGAAATTGAGCACCGCGGGAAGTGCAGCGACAACACTTCCCAGTCCGCCGGAGTCAGCTGCCTTGCTAGCAGCCTCTCTCACATCCGGGGACACCGCGGTAGTCGCAAGTTCTCGCGTTGAGTACAAGAAGAACCAGCCTCTCCACATGCAAGATTCAAGCGCATGCGCGGCAGTTCCGCCGTCGGACAGCGAACCGGTTGCTTCGCCAGCCCTTCTATCGAAGGATTCGTCGACTTGGGCGAGTCTTGAGGAACTCGACCCGTTGACGGTTGAGGACTTCCAATGGTTGCCTCTTCCCTCCACCGGTTCTTTGCCAACTCCGCATTGCAATGCCTTAATGGCACATCTACGCGAATACTTGCACGCTGCAGTACCAGCTCCGTCGACGGACGGCGGAGTAGCGGTTGTTGATCTTTGCAACTATCTTGCGAAGATCGACCGTGAGTACGCAACGCAACGGTACGTCGACAACGACGCGCCACTCCTCTACATCCGCATTCAGATCGGAAAGGCGACCTGCAGTGCCTTGATCGATTGTGGAGCGACTCGCAACTACATCAACCAAGACTTCATGGCACGCGTCGGGCTTGGCCCGCGCGTTCGAAGGAAAAGTCAGCCTATGCACGTCGCGTTGGCCGATGGTCACACACAAAAGTCAATCGACCGATGCGTTGACTCGGTGCCCGTGTACTTTGCCCCGCTAGCAAGCGAGGCCGTGTCTTTCGACATATTGGACACCAAGTTCGATATGATCCTAGGCATATCGTGGCTGCAAAGCGAAGACCACCCGGTGAACTTCCATCGCCGCACCGTTCACGTTCGTGATCGGCATGGCGAACTAGTCCCGTGTACGGTGCCACTTCCTCATCCTTCGATTGGTTGTCATGTGGTATCTGCGGCGAGCATTCGCCAATCCATCCGGCGGAACGACATTGAGGAGATGGGCATATGTTTTCTTCACGCCCTCCCACCCGGTGATCAGCCCAAGACGGATACGTCGGACCCACGCATCATTGAGCTGTTGGACAGCTATGAGGATGTCTTTCAAGCTCCCGCCGGAGTCATACCGGATCGGCCCATATGCCACGGGATCACTCTCGAGGATGGCGCCGTACCTCCGCGCGGATGTATCAACCGCATGAGCGAAGAGGAACTCAAGTGCTTCGGGCACAACTAGACGACCTCTTAGCCAAGGGCTGGATTCGCCCTAGTTGTTCGCCATACGGTGTTCCCGTTCTCTTCGTCCGGAAGAAGAACAAGGACCTTCGGTTGTGCATCGACTATTGTAAACTCAACGCACAAGCGATCAAGAACGCCGGCCCTCTCCCTCGGATCGATGATCTTCTCGAGCGACTCGGCGGCGCCAAGTACTTCTCCAAGTTGGACCTCAAGTCCGGTTATCACCATATCGAGATTCAGCCAAGGGATCGGTACAAGACCGCATTCAAGACGCGGTATGGGCACTTTGAGTGGATCGTCATGCCTTTCGGTCTCACCAATGCCCCGGCTACTTTCCAAGCGGCTATGACGACGGAATTCCTCGACTTACTCGACCGCTCCGTACTCATTTACCTCGATGACATCTTGGTTTATAGTCGGTCGCTGGACGAGCATCTGGAGCACCTTCGCGCCGTATTGGAGCGGCTTCGTATCGCCAAGTACAAGGCAAACAGCGACAAGTGCGAGTTTGCCCAGCAAGAGCTGGAGTACCTAGGCCATTACGTCACGCCGCAAGGCATTCGTCCGCTCGCGGACAAGATACAAGCCATTCAAGATTGGCCGGACCTCAAGTGTACTACTGACGTCCGCTACTTTCTCGGCTTGGCATCCTACTACATGTGATTCGTCAAAGGATGTCAACGTATCGCCGCACCATTGTCGCGACTTCAGTCCCCCTTGATGCCCTTCGAATTCAGCGACGAAGTCCGCCATGCGTTTCACACGCTGAAGACGACTTTGCTTCAAGCTCCCGTCTTAAGCATCTATGACCCGATGTTGCCTACCAAAGTGACTACAGACGCTTCCGGTTACGGCATTGGCGCGGTTTAGGAACAGCATGACGACACAGACTGGCATCCGGTTGAGTACTTCAGCCAAAAGGTGCCGCCCATCAACACTCTTGATGATGCGAGGAAGAAGGAACTCCTAGCTTTTGTCACCGTACTTAAGCGTTGACGTCACTTTCTCCTCGGGCGTCGACGATTCACGTGGGCAACGGAGAACAATCCGTTGACGTATTACAAGACGCAAGACACGGTGACCAGCACAATCGGTCGGTGGATGTACTTCATTGACCAGTTCGACTTCACCTCCAAGCACATTCCGGGCTCCTCGAACAAGGCGGCGGATGCTCTCTCGCGAAGACCTGATCTTTGCGCCATGGTGCACTCCACGTTTGGCCTCGACGAGGACCTCCAACAACATTTCGTAAATGGCTACAAGTCGGATCCGGGATTCTCCACACTCTATGCGGACTTATCATCGGACCAACCGCCGGCAAGCAACTATCGCATCACCGACGGCTACTTGCTCCTCCATACGCGAGGCAAGGACGTGTTGTGTGTTCCCCAAGACCGCATCTTGCGCACTCGCCTCCTTGGCGACTACCATGATTCGCGGCTGGCTGGACACCTTGGCGTCGCACGCACACTTGCAAGACTCCGCCAGCGTTTTCACTGGCCGGACATCATCAACGACGTCAACCGGTACATTCAATCATGTGCAGTTTGCCACCGGAACAAAGGGCGCCATCAGCTCCCGTACGACGAACTCAAACCATTGCCGATTCCTCGGGCACCGGGGCTCTCCATTGCTATGGACGTGACCGGTCCTTTCCCTCACGATCGATCGCCTTGGTCATGATGGCATTCTCACGGTCGTTGACCGTTTGAGCAAGTATGCTCGATTTCTTCCATGCAAGTATCATGCGACGGCTCCCGAGCTCACACGACTTTTGCATACCGGCTGGTTTTGCAGCCACGGCGTTCCGGAAGACATCGTCAGCGACCGCGACACTCGTTTCATGTCGGCCTTTTGGACGGCACTCATGGTGGAATCCGGCGCCAGCATGAAACCGAGTTCTGCACGACATCCTCAAACGGATGGGCAAACGGAACGTGCGCACCAGACGGCGCAGATGATGCTCCGCACACTTATCCACCCGGATCAGAAGGACTGGGTTGACCACCTTCCCGACATCGAGTTCGCCTACAACACTTCGGTGCACCCAACGATTGGCGTGACTCCATTTGAGTTGCACCACGGTGGATGGAAAGGACGTATCTTCGCAGACATTTTGCTTCCACGGGCTGCCGATATAGACGCCGCTTGCTCCCCCGCTTCTACACGGAAGTATAGGGAACTGCTGGCCAAAGCCCGCGCAAACATGCAAAAGGCTCAGGTCCGTATGCAGCAGCAAGCGAACCGGCGTTGCATCCCATGTCCAATTCGCGTTGGCGACCTAGTTTGGGTCGCCTCCGAGGAATTCGCGCTCGAGCAGGACGTCTCGCGCAAGCTCCTCCCTAAGTGGTTTGGACCATGGATGGTCACTTCAGCAGCTGGCGACGACCCCGCGGGTCCATCATTCATCGTTGAGATTCCCCCGCATTTGACGGTCCACCCGATCTTTCACGCTTCAAAGTTGGCGGTTTACACTCCAGCCTCCGCAGCGGACTTCCCGGGCAGACGGTCACAGGACCCTCCTTCAATGGATGGTCATCAGGAGGTCGATCGCATTCTCATGCATCGCAAGCATGGCAACAAGCCGATGCAGTACAAAGTTACCTTCAAGCAATGCGATCCGAACGACACACACTGGATTTCAAGAGCTGATCTGAAGGCGACAACACCCCTCATCTTCGCGCATTTCGAAAAACAGCGACTTGCTAAGGAAGCTGCCCAACCTGCCCGCCCTGTACGGACATCGGACAGATAGCTTCGCCCTCGCAGTTAGCTCGGTCTTTCAAGGGGGGGAGTGTGTGGCATTCTAAGCCACACGGGCCCCCGTTAGGGCCCGGTTCCAAACAGGCAGGGTTAGCCCAATGGACGACGGTTCAGATGAGGCTCAGAGGGGCCTGGACCTTGACGATTCAGGCAGGCCCAGGCCAAACGGCCACAAGGCTGGTACTGGTCCAGCCTAGGACCTACCGGCGGCATTACAGAGGCTGCCACCGTTTTGGGCGCCAACCAGTTTCGAAACTGGACCGTTGATCTCGATCAACGGTCCAGGCCAGTAGGTACCAGCAGGTAGGAGGCCGGCCCAACACTACAAAAGGCTGGGTACCAGCCTCAGTAGTTTAGGTTAGTACGAGGTTAGTCTGTACGAAGTTAGTCTTCAGGGATTAGCGCAGCTTGGCAGCGTTAAGCAGATTAGCGCAGCACAGCAGCGAGAGCCAGAGCCGCGAGCAGACAGCGAGCGCAGCAGCGAGAGGAACAGCACCGCGGCCCTGCCGCGCCATAGCCAGGTACCGGGAGGAAGGCTCTGCCTTCTCTCCCTCTGTTCCTCCGCCCTCCATCTCTCTCTCTCTCTTCTCTCTCTCTCTCTCTCTCCTCCTGCCTTCTCAGTCTATTCTGGGTTCTCCTACGGGACGACTGCAGATGAGAGATGGTTACGAGTTTTGGTGACATCTGAAACAGCGACATGGGGACTACGAGTTGAGGGCTATTTTGGGGATCTGATTTCATCTTCCTTCTGAAGGTGTACTTGACATTGTGAGATCGATATCTGGGATATTGTGAGACTTGGCATTCGCGACATTTCGGATTTCCGTCACTTCTGATAGTTCAAGATACCATCTTTGGAAACATTGAGTTGACGCCATCTTCCCTCTCCTCCTTCGTCTCTCTCCTCTCTCCTTTCGTCCGTGTATGATCTTGGTCCCTGGCCCTTCGTCTATACTCGAGGCCAGGGCATTCACAGCCTGATGAATGTTTGAGAGTGTTCGATTGCAGTCTGAGTCAGGTCCGAGTCAGTCCAAAGGTATCTCACTCTTCCGCTGTATTTGTATCAACTCTGTATTATCTGGTCGGTTCTGGGAATCTGCGTCATACTTATGACTGTGTTTCACGAGTATGCAACACTTCTGACATACCTTACTCGTAGCAGATCGACAGATATA